AGTGTTGTGGGGTTAGCCCTCCTCTGGTTGCATATGGTTAACCGATCTTCTGAGTGCTTTTGGAAAGCCATGCACATCGATATTTCAAACCTCACTTAAAACAAAATTAGACAAATTCAGTCAATCTTTACCCAAATAAAATCAAAGAATCTCTTCTTATTTAGCAAACTTGACTTGCGGAGGTCTCATAGATGGAAAATCCCCGACAGGCTAGCACAGGGCGCTTCGTTCCATGTTATAGGGCAGTTGGTGCCCAACGTGGTATGCCTCCTTCAAATGTCGAAATGCCGTGTTTCTTTGTGAGCGCCATACGCTTAGTAATAATTAGAGGATCCCGGAGATCCTTGTTTCATACAACTTCAAACCGCTTGCCCTAAGATCATCACTATTCTAACAGTATCCAGGAAAAAAATGTTTATGTAGCATAAGCAGCTAGGTAGTGCATGGGAAAAAACGTGCGAACAAGTGGTTTTACTTTGCCTGTTAATTAATAACCTCCAGTTGGCAACTCACTGCTTCTAGGAGCTCTCACTGTCCATATCTCCCTACTTATTGGCAGGCAGATTTCCGGAGTCATGAGAAAGTTTCTTTGACGGCGCTTTTATAAGAAAAGGGCAGCCCCGCACTTAAAAGGCAAACGTACATTGTCCTATGGTGTCTTGACCTTTATGCACAAAATATAAATCCTGTAATTTCACATCTTCTGGATGCAGTTCTGCAAAGTTTTCTGAACTTCAGCCCGATGTTAGTGGGTCGAGGACTGTCTCAAACGAGAATTATTAGCCAAGATACGTGAAATGCATCTCCCATCCAATAAAAAATACCCAGTGTAATTTTGTTTTCCTTTGAAAAATCTTTTGAAGATTAAATGCTGCGGCATCATTGCACAATTTACATGGTATTTGTATCTTCCCACGCAACACAAAGTATCAACACTGAGGGATGTGTGTGATGGGTTTGGCCGTTGATTAAAAAGTGGTGTAAGACAATGGTAAATATATAACTTATTCAGAAGAAGAGGATGCGATCACTGGAACAAGAGTCTTATTTTCCCGAAGTTTCGGATGCCGTCGGGAATCCTTAATCATAGGTGATGGTAGCACAGTCAGAGTCATGCTGTCACTAGTCTTTTCACTCTTCTTCGCATCTCTGAACTTAAACGAACAGCCGTCTAAAATAAACATGCTTTGCAATGCACAAACGCTGCTTAAGTAATACTTAAGTACACACGATGGAATCTTTTGACAAGTATCGACTAAAGAGGCTACAATGTGCTGAAAGGAAAAAGCGCTCGCTGTTACGAAATAAAGCATGATTACTATTAAATTAGTTTGATTTCTAAATTCATCATTATCGACCGGTATAAACGATCACAAACATGAGGGAACGAGAAGTTAAATTTCGCGATTGTGCACGCGTGGACAAGATAACTAAGTTCTTTTGCCGACAGTGTAGTAATTAAACTGCTTTCGAAGGTATTTGTATGTGACTACTAAACAATGCTGTGAAGATAACAGAACTGTAATACTCCAAGCGTTCTTCTTTCCCAAATATTCTAATAATTTCACTCTTAAAAAATTTGCCAACTAGCGATTTTGGGCATTTCAGTTTTCAGCATTTGGTACTATTGCAAACATAAAATGCAGTTCGTCATTCTTAAAGGGTATGCGCAAAAATACTTTTAAGAATGTATTGAATGTGAAGTTAGATGCTTGTGCAGAAAATGCGCAGAGGAATCAAAATTAAATTTCTGTTCCCGTTATTGTGTATGGTAAGACTGTAGAGAGTTTGGTATACAAGTAGACTAAGTAATCTTAAGAACGTAATCCTGTATAGAACAGTACGGAAACGTTTATACTTTTTTGCCTTGAACAAAAGGTCGACGTCTGCTTCTCAAGCACTTGATAGGGAGGATCTACTTATCCAATACCTTAGGGAAAACGAAAACATCAATGAAGCCTTATGCACTACAAATGAATGTCAGCTGTTTTTTGCAGTAATTGAAATAATGTAATGCGCAGCAAGTCACAAACCATTTCCAATTTCGCTTTCGCATATCTGATCGACACAGGCCCGCACGAAATATAATCGTAGTGGAACACTTCAGGACCATCAGATTTGGGAAAATACCCCAAAGTACACAGACGAATTCAACACGACACGTTCGTTTTCCATGACACAAATGACACTCACCACACAATTATATTGCCTAAATAAGACTCTCATGTCCACAAATCAAATTGATGATGTACGTGACGACAATGGCCCGGGAAAAAATTAACAGAAAAGATCGTTTGCGAATATTTCCCCCCACTTAACGGGTTAGTGAAATCACGTACAGTTTCAAACTTAACTGCAGTTGATTTAATTCTATGAAGAACAATTTTTCTGAGCTCTTACGTAGGAAGTGCTATTTACGAAGCCATCAAAGGTAATCTCCCGGTTAACCTACAACGGTTTACGTGGGATCTGACATTTAGATGCCCAAGGTTACTTGGATTGCAT